CGCCAACGAAACACTCCATCTAATTATGTTCACTCGGCCAATTTATCGTGAAAAATAGATCCTCACGAATCTTCCAACCTGCACACCAAAGACGAAAAAAATTGGAAACCGACCGAAATAAAGCGAACAACGAAATAAATTACAAAATGAACTAAAAACCAACTAGTAGACCTAACATGGGGAAAAACAAAGGAAAAAATAACAAAGAAAAACGCAACAAAAATGGGACAAACATGTAATATCATCCAACGCCAAGCTTTTAATATATAACTATAACAGGCAACTTTAGGCACTCCTAGGCAGACTTGGCGAGTTTGACAGTCAGACGGTTAAGCGGCGCCTAGGCGGGCATAGGTGGACCTAGTCGCTCCTAGACGGGCTCGGCGTTAATTTTTTATTTTTTAATATAAATTATATTGTTTTGTTCTCTTGTTTTTTTAAAATATATTAATATTATTATTTGGACTTAGGTGTGTAGATTTATCATAAGTTTAGATAGTTTTATTTTGTAGGTAGTTAAAATAAATATAAAATAAGGTATTTAATATTAATTTCTAGGCCCCGTCTAAGCGCCGCCTAGGCCCTGCCTAAGCGCTAGGCGTTGGTCGAGCGCTTAGCGAGCGCCTAGCAACTTTTGAAACACTAGTTTAATTATTGATTCGTTAAACCAGTGTTTTGAAACACGGACCGGCCCGACGAGCAACTCGATTCGGTCGACCCGAGATCGAAAGCATTTCGGGTGGATTGTTCGAACATGGTAGCAAGAGGTTGTTGGTTTGTATACTAAAAGTTTGACTTGTTTACGAACTTATTTTCAACGCTTTTAATGAGAATTATGTTTTTAGTCAAAAGTGTTTGCTCTATTGTCTAACATTGTAGATAGTATGATTCATTATGTTGAACAAAAGATCTTATTTTCAATTCCTTGTAAAGTATAAAGTGGTTCATAACTTAGATAAAATTAAATGAACTATCATGAAAAGTTGTAGTGTAATTTTGAATTACTTTTTCTTGACAAATGAATTGCAATAGCACATTTTGAATATATTGATCGGACCTCATGGATAATATTATTTTATATTGATCAATTGAATAATATAGAACTCAGTTATTACCCATACTCTTAAGCTGTAAGGTAATGAATGATCATATGCATTTAATATGTATGACTTTGACTTACCAAAATTGATGGATCAATAGACTGGGTGGTTAGTTAAAATTTTAAATGTTAGGTTTTGTAGAGGTTATTTACAGTCACATTATCCCAATGCGCTGGGTTGATGACATTCTCGAAAGAGAATTATGTTTTGGCATAATAACAAGAAGCTAATTAATTATAATATCAATAGTTAAATTAATTAACGGACATTAGATCTTAAACATGAAGAGATAAATTGAGTGAATAAATCTGGAGATGAATTAAATTTGATTCAAGGTAAAATAGGAAGTTCAATAATATTCTTTAGTGGAATGAAATATTATTAATATGGATTGGGTGTAGATGGACCAAAACCTAAGTTGAGTAATACTATGGAGAGTCATGATTTAACACCTCATTTAGGTCTCTGTTGTAGCCTATAAATACACCAAGTCTCAAATAGTCCTATATGTCAAACTCACATTTATAAATCTCGGCCAAATAAATACGAGAGAGAGAGAAAGAGAGAGAGAGATAATTGACATGAGGTTCTAGGAAAGAAAATCGAAGATAATGTTTTAAAACATAAGTTCTCATTTTTTTCCCAAGATCCAAATGTGTGTGTGACTCTGGGAGATCCGAGCAGTCGTCGTCCACATAGGCGAGCGAGGAGAGGTGTCGAGACTTATGACAGAAGATAAAGAGTTCATTCGTCCGGTCCCGTAGACCGTGTAAGGCGTCTCAGAGTCGGTAAATTTTAAACCATAAGATTCGAATCCTAACTTTTGATCTGTTGCGCTTAGGATTCAATTCTTAGACTTCGATTCGCTCTGTAATCTTCGTTGTTCTTCACCAAACCCAACATGGACCTGGCCAAGCTCAGTCAAAACTCAGCTTCGCCCTGACCCGATCGACCCGACTAGGTCAAGGTCAACTCAGTTTGACCCAACCATTAAATATATATATTATTCACCTTTTTATTTAAAAATAAAAATTATATATATATGTTAATTAATTGTCACATAATACAATACTACGAAGAATTCAGGGTATAAAATTTACATACAACTAATTTATTTTTATTATTTTATGTATGGTTATAAAATAAAAATAACATAAATATAATTTAAAATTTTATTAAATTAATTTACTCGGTTCAGTAATTTATCCGGTGACCCCAGTTGGACCGGTGACACGATAACTTGGAGTCCAACCCGAATCAATCACGTGTTCTGAGTTTAAAAATTACAATAATCCTAATGTGATGTACACGCGTCTTGTTGGATGACCGACCAGTGTATGGGTCCCATGCTGACTCAGTTACCAACTATTACTCGTTATCCTTTCATGTCTCCACGGCCATGCCATCCCTCCTCCTATAAATACACCTTCTCATTCTCGCTATCCTAAACCTTGTCCGAATATCAACATTATAAACCTTAATAATATAAAAAAACATTTACTTTGCCACATTTCCAGCTGATAATTTTCCTGCTCTCTTATTGCCATGGATTCTCACTTCGCCTCGGATTCCGCGTTCGAATGTCTCATCTTTGGTAAAAATAAACAAATAATCATTTTTCTTATTCATTTTTTTATCTTCTCTGTACGATCCGGTTACCGGTTATCCCGTCCGAATTTGTAACTCTTAGATCAACTATTTCGGACGGGTACATAATGATCTAGATTACAACTTCCAACGGAATGGTACCGGAACAAGACTTTAACATTTAATCAATTGTGGTTAACTTTTTATTACTGTGGGTTTAAATTAAATTTAAGAAAGCTGTCAAATTTTTGTCTTGTATTGACTGGCGAGAGCAGATTTGGACGACACGTTGTATTCTTCCAAGACTGGGATCGGACAAGCTGTTAAGCGTAACGTTCAAGGTTAAACAACGCAGTTAATAAATATAATTAATCACTTCAAATTTTATGCAGTAAAAAACAATTACTGGAGAAAATGGTAGTAGTAAAAATAAATTTATTTCCTAATCGTTTTGTTACAGATTTTCTGGTCGAAAAATGCGGGTTTTCGGAATCCGAAGCTCCGATTGTGAATGCAGAGTTCTTCAGGACATATGGAAGCTCCTTAGCTGGACTCAGGGTATTTAATTTAGTTTTTTAATTAATCATACAAATTAAATTATATTAATTTAATTTCTCCAATGATTAATCTCGTAATAATCCGATTATTCTCTTCCTTTTCTTTGTTTTTTTTTTATATATTTTTTGGCAGGCTTCAGGCTACAATATTAATCCTAACGATTATCACAGGTTCAAAGAAAATAACTGAAAAGAAAAAAAAANNAAAAAAAAAAAAAAAAAAAAAAACTTATTAGAGATGAAATTAAATAATTGAGAAATGTTACTGTTCTGTTACGTAACTATTCCGTCAGTGTTTATAACCATTAGATAATTATTATGTACAAATCCCGATAGAATGGTTCCGTAACGGACTGTAACATCTTCCTAAATAATTATATAACATTTGATTTTTTTTTTTTTAACATAACAGTTTCGTGCACGGAATATTGCCCTATGATTTGATCCGACCCGACTCTCGGCTTCGCAGCCTATTGCAGTCAATCAAACAACGGAAAATCGTGAGAATTAATATTTTAAAAAAAAATTAATAATAAATAAACGTGAAAACATATTTCTCACGAGAAATTGCATCTTCACTAAAAATTGACGAGAAATTCCGCAAATAAATCATCGCGCAGATTTTCACGAATTCGGACAGGATTCACGCGATCAAAGCCCTGGATCGTATCGGGATACGAGATTGTTTCGAGAAGATCATATGTTTCGAGACGATGAACCCGAGCCTGTCGACGTCGACGCGGCCGGACGAATTTCCTGTGGTTCTGAAGCCTTCTATCGAAGCCATGAACATCGCCATTGACGCCGCCGAGGTCGATCCCCGCCGTACGGTACGCTGCAGCTCCATGCGATCATTTTCTCAATTAGCCTTCCAAATTTTTATACTGTATTTTGACTTTAAAATTCAAATCACGTTTTGTTGGAAAATTCAGCTGTTTTTTGATGATAATGTGAAGAACGTTGCTGCCGGGAAGGCTGTGGGGCTTCGTACTGTTCTGGTAATTAAATGCTATTTCTATTTTCTACTTAATTTTTTTTGGGAAAATTGCATTTTGTGCTAACCAAGCCGTTTGTGGCTAGTGTGGACAGCTTCTTTTTCGTTTGGTAAAAGTAACCCAAAACTTGTTAAAACTCAGAATTCGTGCTCAATTTACCTACAAGTTACTTGATTTGACCCGTTTTTCGTGTGGCAAAATAAAACAGTAACTCGTTAAAATTTGAAATTTGTGCCCAAACTAGACACGAATTTTGAGTTTTAATAAGTTTCAGGACTCTTTTGTCAAACTAAAAAGAAAGTTGTCTACATTTGCCAAATCCCTAATTAACAGAAATTCTATGGTGCCACATGTGACACCATATTATGGTGCCACAACATGATGTGGCACATTATGATTGGTGCCACAACTATCACACGTCATGTTGTGCCACCAATCATAATGTGTCACATCATGTTGTGGCACCATAACACGTGCCACATGTGGCACCATAAAATTTCTGTCTAATTGGGGCATAAAATACAATTTTACCTAATTTTTTTCCTAATTTTCTGTATTATTTTTTAGGTTCATTTATTTGTTTTTTTTATTTTTTATTTTTTGTCACCTGCACCGACGGTGCACGGTAGTTAGTGTATTCTTATTTTTTTTTTCTATGCTCATTTTTTAAAAGAAAAACTCAATTCGAGCACTAACACGTGTATCAAGTGCTTCAAACAAGTTTCTAGATGTGCAATTGAAATATTTTAGTAGTAGAAAAAATATATATATAATTAAGTTAGTGGAGGAATTAATAATTTTTCTTTTTAATCAAATGTAAAAAATAAATAATACTAAATTGTAATTATTGATAGATAATGGGAATGAAAATATGATGGAACTCAAATAGAAATGTATTTTGTTGGGAGAAAGGTTGGGAGATCAATAAGATGCAAAGGAGCAGATTATGCCGTGGAAACATTGGGAGAGATGGTACAAGTCATCCCAGCACTGTGGGTAAACGAGGAGGAGAATGAGAATGAAAGAGTTATCCACAAAAGAGGTGAAATAATGGAGTCCATTATTGCACCCACTCCAGTTGGTGCTTGATAGACTTGTACATTCACTGTGTGTGTGTGTGTGTGTGTGTGTGGACCTTTAGTTATTGATCTGTACTTTTTGTACATTTATGTATGTAAATTGTAAAATGGTGTGGCTGTAATAAATAATCTTGAGCATTTGACCCCTTGCATTGTACTGTACTGTCTTTTTCTTTATTATGTTTTCCAAAGTTGTTTTACAGAAAAAGGTTAATGATTTTTCACCAACTGAATCCTCAAGTGCCATTATCGTTTCGAAAATATATATATATATATATATATATATACTATCGTTTCGAAAAAAAATAAAAATAAAAACCTCAAGTACCGACAACAAATACAAGTACAGCATAAGGTGTCAGTTCAGTTGAGAGGCATTATAGAGGCATAGTCTTAAAAACCGGGTTAGCTGATTAAGCGGTCAATAAAAACCCGTTCGGTCCGGCTGTCTTTAAAGAAAAATAGTTATAATAATTTTAATTATATTATTGATATAAATAAAAGTACAAATTTAGTTATTTGAGATATGTATAAATTAATTATTTTTTTTATGCTCCTGAATGTTATTAAATGTCTTAGAGCTCATTTGGTTCGGATGATGAGATTAGACTAATTAATATGAAAAGGTTGGATTGTACTGTGCAGATAAAATTAAACCCACATTTGTTACATATGATTATTAGTTCAAATAAAATAATATTTCGTCCCCACATTGTTTGTTTCACTAGATAACTCATATAATATAATGGTAGATTGTCAATTTTGCCCTCAACCATGACCTCCCATTTTTTATTTTTTTTTTTCATAATTGCCCTTCGTTCACAGCACACGCTTTGCTATCCAATTTACTTCCATCTTATTTTTCCAAAATTTAGTAAACAAATCACAGCAAAGGATATGAATTTTCTACTACAAATTTTCAACAAATGCAAAGTTCCCACTACAGTTTTCCGAAATTGGAAAAACAAAAAACACAAAAACAAAAAATTCAAAACTCTTGTTCATTTCACCAACAAATGATAAGTTTCCACAATAGTTTTTCAAAAATTGGAAAAAAAAAAAAAAAAAAAAATAGCAAAACTTTGTTCATCCAACCGAAACTGTTTTTGCATTCCACAATGTTATTTTTATCAGTTTATTTTATTTCCTTTTTCTCCCTATTTTGCTGCAACAATTATGTATATGTAACTAGATATGCGCGAGTGCTTAATTGAATCTCACATGGAAGCCGATTCGGACCCGTCCACTCTAATTTCACCTATATGGGGCGCAAGTTATCCGATCTAATCCACAACGACTCATCCTCCGCCTTCGGCGACTGCAACAGCGACAGTCGGTGAGTTCCCACAGCCTCCTCTGAGAGCTGTCGCTTCTTTCTCGCCCGTGCCCCCGACAACTCCGACGAGCTATCTCCTGCTCGTCTCAAGTCTCGTCTCCGATTGCCCCGACATCAACAAGCAGGTCGCCATGGAAATTCACTTCCTCGACAAGAACAAGCTCGAGAACCGCCAAGCCAAGAAGCTGAAAATCCGTATCAAAATATTAAAATTTGGGGATAAAATGGACATTTTGCTTCTTTTTACTGTTGGGATAAACTGAATCATATCATACCCCTCGAGATTGAGTTATCTTGAATATGAAGGATAAAAGAGGTTTAGTAGCGGGCCGTAGGATATCTACCGAGCTTCAATCATATATACCAAACGTAGGATTAGGCCGGATAAAAGGGGCTATCCTACCTAATCTGCCCAACCAAACGTGCACTTAATATTTAATGAATGATACTTTTTTGTATCAAAATCTATTATTTAAAAATAATATTTAATTGTATATCGCTTCAAGTCACTAGTCAGAACAGTGAAATATTGAACCATCGACTCGATTTTTCAACGACCAATCAGGTTATGAGAACACTACTAAGAGGAGCAGGTAACAATTTTACTCTATTTCTACTCACAAACTCATTCTAAACCTCGATTGGTTCAACGACCAGTCAGGTTATGAGAACACTACTAAAAGAAGATCAGGTAGCAATTTTAATCTATTTCTACTCAAGAACTCAATATAAACCTCAATGATGTAATAATTTTTCAATCAAACATTAATTCTTCTCCAACCATTATTGTACTCATCCACAATTCAAAAATAATGTTTTTCAAAATTTACTCTCTCCTATTTTTTGGAATGTCATTTTGGCTTATCAACTATTAACCAAATAAATGTCGTTTTAGATTTCTTGTACATATTTTTCTATTATTACCCTTATTTAACTAATAAATACATTACGCCTTTTCATATTTACTATTCATCTTTTCTTAAAACATTTATCTCTATCTTCATTAAATAAGTTTATTATTGGCAAAAAAAAATTCTTAATTAATGTGCAACTTCTCAAAACGACATATAATAAAAATAGGAGATCATATTATTTAACATGAATTCTTACAAATTTTCAATATTTAACATCAATTTTACGACTTTACAAATCCCACCTCATTACTATTTTCTATTCAATTAAAAATTATTTGTAATGTACACTTTTGGGATAAAGTAAAAGTGTACAAGCCTACCAATGTAAAACAAAACTAAACAATTGATAATGCAAAATTACCAATCTATCTGATTATCTACAATGATTCAAAAAAAGAACTCATACAAAATCATCTCGAAAAGAATGCAAACAACTAAATATGCATTTCCATAATCCACTGCACAAATTTCACATCAAAACCCATTTTGAGCACTGTTATCTTTAAGGTGTTGTTAAATCAGAAATTCTATGGCACTACATGTGGCACTATATTATGGTGCCACAACATGATGTAGCACATTATGATTGGTGCCACAATTATCACATATCATGTTGTGGCACCAATCATAAAGTGTCACATCATGTTGTGGCACCATAATATGGTAGCACATGTGGTGCCATAGAATTTCTGGTTGTTAAATACCGCCCCCAAAAAAGACAGTTTTACCCTTTTAATATAAAAATAATTTTTTTTTTTTTGCTGGCCGGCCTTGAATGTCGGCTGTAGCCGTGCCGGCCTTCTTTTTGCCGGTTGGCCAGCCCATGCACGGCCAGTTTTGTCGGTTGGTCGGCCCATGCACGACCGGTTTTGCCGGCCGGCCGGTCAATTTTTTTTTTTTTTTATCAAATTTTTAATTATATACATTATATTAGAATTTAGATTTATGTTATAAATTAGAATTTAATATCTCATAGTTAGAATTTAGAAATTGTTAAAGTATAAATTATAACTAATTATCTTCTAGAATTTTATTATTATTATGTTAGAACTCATTAATTATTATGTTATATAACATAATACTAATTATCTCTAATAAAATACTAATGAGTGATGCTATTAAAAATTGTAGTTCTCTTTTTTTCTTAAATCCGCTCCTTTTCAACTCGGTAATAAATTGTAAAATACAAAATAATATTTTGACTTAAATTTGAAATTCATAAATACCAATTTAAATAACAAATTGAACGAAAAAAAATGGATTCTGTTAGAGCAATTCATTGAGATTAATTAAGTATGATTTGACCGAATTTTATGACAAGAGATTGTTTGACACTTTTTTCAGAGTTATATGATTCGTTTGAATATTATAGTAGGAAAAACGTTCTAACAAAATAGTAATAAATTCTAATTTATAATAGTAATAATCTATACCATAATAATTTCTAACTTCTAACATAGTAGTACCAAATCTATTAATATATAATAAGGATTAACTTAATTCATATTTAGAAAATCTTTCCCTCCAAATTCATTAATTACACTCTAAAAATAGTAACTTAACACACTTTCATTAATTATTGCTTAATTATATGCCTCTGCTTTTCTGATTTTTTTTTCTTTTATAATATGAAATGAAAATCCTAATCAATCTCCTATTTTTGTCTCCATATCAATCACAGAGATAAAAAAACTGAAAAAAATGGTAACAAGATTTTTAATGTTCGGTACAATAACAAGAATTATTTTGAAGTTACATATATTCTTTTTTGTTTAAACTATTAGATAGATTTATTTTTGATGAACCCAAATATATAGATTCCATAAATATTAACATTGTAATATAGTGAGATATTCTACACGTTGTGAACTTATATTTCCGAAATCTAATATAATAACTAAAAATTATTTATATATATATATATATATTAGTATTTACGAGAATCTCGAACACACTCTGCCATTCAATTGTCAATCGTTAGAAAAACAATTTCTCATACTATTAGCAGAAAAACAAAGCGATTATGGACCAACCAATGTGCTTGATCAGATATCTTAAACGCAATAAGAGCACATTATGGACCAACCAATGTGCTTGATCACCATTTATGAACATACAAAAAATTGGGAAATCCATAGTAAGTGCTAAACAAAAAATGGACCAACTTTTCGTTCTTATCAAAGATGTTGAAAGTACAAAGAGAGTTATGTTGCAACTTCTGAAAATCTGAAAAGAATTAGAGGAAGAAGATGTTTATGCAATTTGCAACTACAAAGTGGAAAGAAATCTTAGTAAATATGGATCTGCAATTATCAAATACAAAATAATTTTGCATAGAAAAACAAAAATCATATCCAACCCAACCTATTTCTCTATTTTCCGTTTTGATTTTTGAAATTTTGCAACATTTTGTGATGTGGAAAATATCGATGAGTCTTCACTTTTCGATAAGAATAACTTTCGAATATATTCATTATCATATCTAACAATGATTAAATAAATATTTTTTATTTATTATGAATGTAGATGTCATTGAGTTGGTAGTAGAAATTCAACAAGTGCAATTCAAGCAAGTTGCACGACAACATACCCAAATGATTGACTTTACTCTTCTCGATTTGGAGTAAGTATTTGCATAAAGATATTTAATTGTTATATACATTTAAGAAAAATTTATTAGTTTGAAATTATTATTTTATCTATTATAGGGACAATACTATTAGTTTTGAGAGTCGTTATAAAGGCAAAGGCTATCCATGAGTTCTCATAATGTAGCTTAGTAGAGCAAGATTGTGTGGTGGTAGTATTAAAAAATTAAAGTATTATAAATTTTGATATTTTTTAATTTTGCTTTTTTATATATAATAATTTGGTGGAACAAGGTTGTGGGTTGGTTGTATTAAAAACCAATAATGTTATGTACAAAGAGATTTTTAATAATGTATGACTTTTTTATGACGAATATTTTAGATCAAGTGACAAATGCTCTACGTATTATATGTTAATAACCTTCAATTTATAAATTTTACCAACACAAATACAGCTCGTGCATCGCACGGGTTACATACTAGTATTATTTCATAAGGCTATCAATTCTAAATCATACCATAATAATATCCAACTTCTAACATAATAGTAATAAATTATAATTTATAACATAATCAGTTTTAATCTATAATACAATAATTTCTAACCTCTAACAAAATAGCAATAAATTCTAATTCATAAGACAATCAATTCTACTCTATAATACAATAATTTCTAACCTCTAACATATTATTAATAAATTCTAACTATGAGATATTAAATTCTAATTTATAACATAAATCTAAATTCTAATATAATATATATAATTAAAAATTTGATAAAAATAAAAAAAAAATTGGTCGGCTGGCCGGCAAAACCGGCCGTGCATGGTGCGGCCAACCGGCAAAATCGGCCGTGCATGGGCCGGCCAACCGGCAAAAAGAAGGCCGGCATGGCTACGGCCGGCATTCGAGGCCGGCCGGCCCAAAAAAAAAAAAATTATTTTTGGCCGGTTTGACCGGTCGGCCGCCGGTTTGACCGGTCGGTCGCCGCATGGCCGGTCTTGTTGGAAAGCATTTTTTTCGCCGGAATTATTCAGAGGTGTTTTCGGAATATTTCGAGGCTCGGTTTGGCCGGTAAATAGTTCTAAAAAGGGACATCTCTTCTTTTTTTAAAAAAATGAATAAAGGGCAAATTAGTCTTTTAGGGGGCGGTAAATATCGAAAAGGGGCGGTGTTTAACGTTTCACTATCATTAAGAATCTCCATTCGATTTTATCATATGTCTTCATCATATCAACTTTAACTGCCATAAAGTTGTGCTGGCATGATCTATGTCTATTTAAAAAATGAATACCTTCCAGAGCAAGTTAAATATGATCTTTGTGTAGCAGTGAGAAGTTTCTTTTTAATTGGAAGACTTTTGCCTTACTGAACCACACACTTATAACTTTTATACCAAAGTGTGTCGATCCATCTTCTCTCAATCATTTCAAACCTATCAGTTTATGTGAAGTGGTATATAAGATAATATCTAAAATTTTGGCGTTTAGACTGAGAAATTATATTAGTGGTTGTGAGTGAGAACCAAGCAACTTTCTTGCCTGGTAAGTTGTTAAGTGACAATGTGGTTATTGCTCTGGAAGGTATTCAGTTTTTAATTAGACATAGATCATGCCAGCACAACTTTATGGCAGTTAAACTTGATATGATGAAGACACAGAGACAACACAGTATCTTGGCTTCAACAAGGAGTTGACAATGATCAGATGCACTTTTGAAAACTGAAGTTTCTTGAATTTGTGGATACTGCTGCAACCACCC